ATATGTTTAATAAGTTGACTTTTTCTCAAAAATTTTCATTTTCAAATTTTTGTCGGTCATCGTTTTTGAATTCACCCTTAACAAACAATGGTCTCTGGAATCTACGTTAATATCCGATTTTTTTAAGTAAAAGATCACATAAACTTGTTATCATTTGAACTGAAGATGTTATCATAATTATAATTTACACAGAAGCATTATTAGACAAGTTTTCAATCACGTTAAAAATTATTATGGTAAATACCAAAAATGTTTCAGTTATTTTTTAAACTGTGACGTCAAAACGTGATGGAAATATATCAGTTACAAAGTTTAACATTGTCTACAAATTCATATAAAATTTAATGCATTCTCTTTTCCCTTTTTTACAAATTTCATAATGAGATTGAATTTAAATACAATATTTACTATTGATAAAGGTGAAGGTATCGAACAGTAAGCAGTCTCATAAGTTCTGTAAACTAAAACGTGAACAGGGCAAAAACTCGAACCCTTGGAAACATCAGTGGTGGATGGGATCAAGTGGGTAGGAGGAGTTAGAATCCCCTGTCGACCAGTCCCACTATTGGGTTTATTCCCATCTGGCCAAAATTTTGAATTTCTTATTCCCATCTAGCCAAAATTGGGATTTTCACACCTGGGTGGTCACCTGTGTATAGTCTGTTTTATATGCTTATTACCTGTAATTTTCAACTGTGTTATACAAGTTCTTTATTACAATACCTATCATTAATATTTCGTTTATTAGATATTGATTAATCAGGTTCTACATATTAATTATTTTAAAATACATACATATCTATCAATACTTTTTTTAAAAAAGAAAAAAAAAATAATTTTAATTAATTTACATTTTTGGGTCACAAGTTTGATGAAAAGAGAATAGGCAATGTTAAAAATAATTTTAGCAAATGAAAAAGTAAATAATTGAATAAATATTTAAAGTAATTAATCAACACAGAGATAAATATTTTTTTTTGACAATAAACAATTGAATGTATTTGGATTATTTCTTTTACTAATTACTAATTCAATTAAGAGATGGAAACAATGAAAAGAAAAAGATTTTAATTCATTTTGCAGAAATACGAGTTATAAGAACTATTAAAAGTGCATGATATAAAGATAGAAAGTGGCTTTGATTGTTTATACTTAATGTACATGTATTTATAAGTAATTTCTCCACACATGTATTATGATATATTTTTATGTCTGATAAAAATTGGACATATCTTATTGACAAAAAAAAGTCAAATGGATTAGAAGCAACTTAAAAAATCTTCTGTTAATGCAACCTTTTGTAAAATTGTCATAATATAATTTGATTTATATAGTCTACTGGGAAAACATTAGTATTGTCAAAACCTTAAATATTCTCAAAACACAAAATATAATTCTTCTTAAAAAACTAGGATTTTTAGACAGATGTCCATATTCATTTAGAAAAGCTTGTCAATAATCTTTAAAAAAAAAAAATCACCATTTTATGCATCAGAAAAGGAACCATTTCCCCCATAGCATGAGATTCACATGTATAATGCACAAAAATTTTAAATGATAAAAGATTCTTCATTAGACAATGTAATGCTGTTGCGTGTTTTCAAACAAAATAATGTGATATGAGAATAAATTTATTGAGTACATTTATTTGAAAATTAGTACATTGTATACATATTATTGTTATCAGTCATCATATTCCATTCTTTTTGCAATTATTTTTTTAATTACGGAACAGACATCAAAGATTTTAAAAGCATTATTATCAGTACCTTACTTTTACTTCACATGTTTTCAAATATTTGTGATGCATAGCTTAATAGAATTAGTACTAAAACATTTTTAATAAGCTATAATACTATCAAATCATTAAGAGTATGAAAATGAATAAATATGAATGAAATAGAATTTTTTTTTTTAAATGAAGACAAATAACTAATGATACTTATCATTTAACATTTGTCAAATTAAAGAAAAAAAATTATCATTAAATCAACACCAACGATAATAAAATAGATATAGAATTTTAAAAAATGACACTAATGAATTCAAAATATTTATTTCATTAACCAGAATTTATTTATTCATTTATCAGAATTTATTTATTTAAAACTCTTTCTGTGGTAACCTAAAAGAGACTATAAGCCACCTGTAATTAACCCTGAAAAGTTCTTTTTTATATGAATTAGGAAACCTAAACACTTTATATTGATACATTCTATCTATACATTCTAGAACTTGAGAAATGTTGACTTCAAACAAGAATGTTGATAACCTTGTGTCATCAACTTGTTTGTCAATAGCTTGCTTCGTTTTAGAAATTGCTCATTCTTAGAGCATGCTCTTGCGTATCGAATCAACTGGAATCAACTCGAAGACATAAACTTCTTATGCAGGTGATAATGGTATATTGTTCCATATATTATGGAAGTAAGGTGTACATGAAACTACTTATGAATGAACTGTCTCAATATTGCAAAACCTGGCATTTATGCATTAATGTAGATAAATCCAAAATTGCAATTTTTAGAAACAAGGACAAAATTAAATCCAGCGAAAAATGGTTCGTTTGGGAATGATGTTTAGAAATTGTTGAACAATTTACATATTTAGGTATCATTTTCATTATAATAGTAAATTTGCAATGGCTGAAAAACAACTGTCTGACCGGGATAGAGAAGCACTGTTTGTTTAAAAAAAAAACTGAAGGGGTATGTCTATAAATCATTAAACTTTATAAATGCTTTTTGATTGCTATGTTGGTGGTATTATTAATTATGCATCAGAAATTTGGGGAACCAATAAGGATGACAATTTAAAAAAAAAATACATCCTGATGGGGTATGTCTATAAATCATTAAACTTTATAAATGCTTTTTGATTGCTATGTTGGTGGTATTATTAATTATGCATCAGAAATTTGGGGAACCCATAAAGATGACAATTTAAAAAAAAAATACATCCTGATTTTTGTAAGAAATACTGGGAGTTTTTGGTTAAGTAGATTTCCACAGATTTACAAAAGGTTGTTTTCAATCAAACAATTTTGTAATAACATTTTAGTCAGTTATAATTGTATTATTAGAAATTGCTATGAGGAAATGTACATTAACTGCAAATCTCATGCACAAAAAACTGGACCTTTCAGGTGGAGAAATGCTTAAATGAGCGTGTTTTAGTGAAGTTTGGAGTTAACAACGAATTAATACAGCTACCTTAAAAGTTATTAAACAAAGGATTTCGGATCAGGCTAAACAAGAAATATTTGCCAAAATTGAAAGTTCGCAGAAATGTTCTTTCTATAAATATTTACATATGTACTTGATGGATTCTACCTACGGTATTATTTAACAATTTTTTAGCCATTGAAACTAGGAGATATATTCCAAAACAATCAAAAACACCCACAGGAAATGTTTTTCATGCCAAAATTGTGTTGAGGATGAATTTCATTTTATACTAACTAGCATGTCCTGAATATGCTGATTATTGCAACAAATTTAAATTTTTATTTAAAAAAAAATCTACGTATAAATTACTGCATTTGTTCAAAAACTGTACTGAGAATTTTAAGGATATGTGTAATCTCGGCAAGTATATTTATTACAGTATTAGGCATATAGGTGATCTTGTAATCTAATAAATGTTCGATTATTTTTGTACGTATACAGTGTTCTCCAATAAATTACCCACTTCTAGACCGTATTTGATTGTATTATACATGTATTGTATTTACTGATTAGCTGTAAAGTTAGAAATAATAAAGTTCATAAAGTAATATCAACCTCAGAGAGTCAGGTGATTTTTTGTTTATTGTGATTTATATCGAGGGCCAATCAAAGAAGATAATAATTCCGAATTGTATTTGGAAATGTGTTTTCAAATTTTCAAAGGTATCAATTTGTTTAAGTTCTTTTTTTTAAGTTTTTAGAAATTATATTTGATTTACACCACTTCGTGAATATTTTTTTCTGGCACAATGCGTCTGAAGTTTCTTCAACAAGCAGTTTATATTTTTGGGAGGCTTAGTAGAACATTTACTGTACCCTGCAAAATAGTCTTCATACTCTTAAACTATATTCCAATGTATGATGCATATCAATTAGCAAAAGAAAGGCAACTCGAATTGGCATAGTCTAAAGACTGTTTAACGTGTCTTGTAACATTTGTCATGTTTCTTGTATTACCAAATTGTGGCATTTTTCTGTTCCAAAAGGAATGAAAATCTCTTTTGGAGTTTGGACAGATTTGAATAAATTTGTTAGACATTTTATAGTATAACCACAAGCTACAGAGAATACCGTTTTGTGATTCTTTGTCACCAGCATTTGTTCAGGTACAGATTTGGGTGTAAAAGATTGATTCATCTTTGGTTGTTCTCTTCAGAGGCATGCTACAACAACCAATCCAGTATCACCTCAAATCTTAATAAAGTCATATTTATATAGCCAAACAGGGCTGGCATTTACAGAGCCAAACAGGGATAGCATTTATAGAGCCAATCAGGGATAGCATTTTATAGAGCCAAAGAGAATAGCATTTTATAGAGCCAAACACAGATAGCATTTATACAGCCAAACAGGGATAGCATTTTATAGAGCCAACCAGGGATAACATTTATAGAGCCAAACATGGATATACAACCAAGGATAGCATTTATAGAGCCAATCAGGGATAGCATTTTATAGAGCCAAACAGAATAGCATTTTATAGAGCCAAACACGGATAGCATTTATACAGCGAAACAGGGATGGCATTTTATTGAGCCAAACAAGGATAGCATTTTATAGAGCCTAACTCGGATAGCATTTATAGAGCCAAACAGGAATAGCATTTATAGAACCAAACAGGGATAGCATTTATACAGCCAAACAGGGATAGCATTTATACAGCCAAACAGGGATAGCATTTAAAGAGCAAAACAGGGATGGCATTTTAAAGAGCCAAACAGGGAAAAAATTGCCTCCATTTTCTGATTTCTATTTGAAAAAAAAAATCACCTGTAACTCTGTCTCTCATTTTATTTTTTTAATACAAGCTAAAATCTTTATAAAGACAACACTGTTTCTGATTTTTCTACAACATCATGGTACAAGTATTTTATGTAGAATTCCTACATTTACTATAGACTATAATACACAAGAATAGTAAACATCAAATAAAACAACATAAAACTGGCGAGAACTGGCTTCTACCGAAAATTTGTACACATTGGCATTAAATCTATATTGAGAAGCTAATATTAAAAATAAATATTACTGACCTGTAAATCTTAGAATTCATTATTGTACGAGAAATTCCCCATGTTAATTATTACAAAACAATGATTTCATCTTAAAACAAACAAAGTCTAATTCATGATATGTAAAAATTGCATTCACCACTGTTTCACATAGAGTATGTTGATTTTTATAAATGCATCTGCATATAAAGCCATATTAGAAAAACAAGGCCTGCAGGTAGCATTGCTCACTTCAATTGCCTTACTTCTTTGACTTTAACCTAAATAAATATGTATACACATGAGTTTTTACAAAGAAACAGAAAAATATGCTCCAATGTATGTCTAAAAAGAGTACATAAAAGTAATCACATATTTTTTTTATTATGTTACCCTTCTCCTATTCTGTAAAAAAAAGTTTGGTCACAAATATGACAAGAGTTGGTGAATTTTAAAAACTATTTTTTCATTATTTCTTAATAAAGCTCTTACACCAGAACTTGATTTATCCAATAAATTGTGAAAAAGCTCCAATTTTTAGTATCCTTGTGTCATTTTGTTTGAAAATGCCCTAGGTTTTTTTTTTATTTTTTTATAAGTTGGAAAAAAAAGAATAATGGCATTGACTCAGACTCACAACAAAATTTGACATAAAATGTAACATGAAAACTAATTTTGAGAACTAAAAATACACTTTATAATACTGACCTTCTGATATGTACTTCAGTATAACTTTGATAAAAAAAAACCTTTCTAGTTTTATAAATGACTAGGACAACATAGCAAATGCACAATTTTCAAGAACAGTCAGGCTTCATAGCAAATAACACATACAGTTTTAAATGAAAATATAGTGTAGAAATCAAACCTATCTTGATTGGTCCAGAAATTTTCATCACAGGGATTAATTTCAGGCAACTCTGTACACATTAGATAAATTCTGGGGCTTGTATACTAGTACATAGGTCCCTGATAAGTGATGTCTATTTTGTAATAATACAGTAGCATGCGATAAGTAGTCAAGTTTAACAAATACCACACTACAATGTCTAACTGATCAAACATTCAAAGGCAAAATCTTTGCTATCTTTTGAATAAACAAGGATTTTCAGTTTACAACTAAGTTAAGAATATTATTACATTCATTCTTGGTACTTTGTTATTAACAAAATACACATGTATTATAAAATGCCAAGATGATGAATTTGAAATATTTACATTCCACATGAATTTTGCTTATAAGGTGTGTGAAAAGCTTTGGTATTCCAGACACCATAACATGGATGGGGAGGTCAAAAGGTTAAGTTATGATTTTTATTTTGATGTCACAAACACTGAATGCTGTGCAAGCGCAACATCAAAAACAACCTTCACACTCACATTGAACAGTTTAACAGTAGTAGCTGTTGCAATGACCCTTCCATTAATAGATGACTTTCACATTTACAAAAGTTATTTCCCTTTGCGGGGTTAATCTGGGGTCAACCGGCGTAAGACACTGTTTTCCTTCTATACCATTACCAATATTAGGCAATGTCTTCCAAATGAAATCTGTATGAATATGTTTGTTATGTTTTTTATGTTGCCCCATACTATGGCAATACAGGAACGATCAAAATTGTCCTATAGCGTTTAAAGATTGAAAATATTTACAGGTAAGTTACAAGGGTTATAGTGACAAAAATGAGAGTTAAGCCGACAACAGGAGATAACTCTTACGAATGTGAAATTCGTCTATTGTAACTTATCTGAAGAGTAATACAGGGATTTTGAAATATAAATCACATTTGCATCCAAGGCAGGGAGTTGGAAAATGTAAATATAAGCTTTAAATTATTATCTTTTGAAAGACGTAGTCTCATAACTGCAAAGGTGTGTGTAAACAAATTTTCATAATGTGCTAACATGTTTGCAAACACTGCAATTAGGAGACTACATCTTTCAAAAAAATAATGCAATTCTTAAATGTATAAAAAAAAATTGGGAAACTTGAAAAAAGTGAGACATGTTAAATTGTAAAAACAAAACAATATTGGAAGAAGAATTAAAACATATTTACAGCATATATCTCTCTGATATCAAATAAAACATACTCAAATTATCTCTTTCTGATATCATATAAAACATACTCAAATTACAATGTATATATCACTGATATCCTATAAAACATACTCAAATTATCAATTATTTTACTATCACAGAAACAAATACAAAAAGTCTACAAAATACATCAATAAAATGACAGAATCCAACATTCTGTGACAAAAACATTTCCTCATTACATCTAGATTAAATCTCATAATCTGTTCAACTGAATATAATAAGATACAAATATTCCAGAGACATGTTGTCACATGACACACATTCTTATGGCAAAAAAAATAGAAAGAAATATGCAGCACCACTACATAACACATTTGCAGACATGGCTAAGAACACGGAACAATTCTTATTGCAATTAAGGGAGGCTAACAATTTTGATATTGTCCCAGTCAAGTGATTTATTCAGTTCTGGTCCTCATTAGTGTTACTAATTTTTTCTCTTGTCAATACTTATAAACTTTGTCCTTAATCTTCCTGACTAAACAGCAGGAGAATATAACTCCAAATATCTAGAAATAGAAAAAAAAAATGAATTAATGACAAAGGAGGTTAACATTATTTATAATTTTTACATACCAAATCTAAAGGAAACTGATTCAGCATCTTAACTAGTTCCAAAGAGGCTAAAATGTTTACATGTTTACAAATAATGCAAGGCAGAATAGATTACAATAGGTCTCTTGAATGAATTAGATGATCTTCTCTAGTAAACATGTTAGCTGCTCTACCAAAAACCTACTTGCATTGTCAGATAACTGTATTTCTGTTGTTAATGACAAGTATATCTTACCTGTACACAACACAGTCCTAGTCCCACAAATGACATGGTATATCTTACCTGTACACAACACAGCCCTAGTCTTACAAATGACAAGGTATATCTTACCTGTACACAACACAGTCCTAGTCGTACAAATGACAAGGTACATCTTACCTGTACACAACACAGTCCTAGTCGTACAAATGACAAGGTATATCTTACCTGTACACAACACAGTCCTAGTCGTACACATGACAAGGTATATCTTACCTGTACACAACACAGTCCTAGTCGTACAAATGACAAGGTATATCTTACCTGTACACAACACAGTCCTACTCGTACACATGACAAGGTATATCTTACCTGTACACAACACAGTCCTAGTCGTACAAATGACAAGGTATATCTTACCTGTACACAACACAGTCCTAGTCCTACAAATGACAAGGTATATCTAACCTGTACACAACACAGCCTTAGTCCTACAAATGACATGGTATATCTTACCTGTACACAACACAGCCCTAGTCTTACAAATGACAAGGTATATCTTACCTGTACACAACACAGCCCTAGTCCTACAAATGACAAGGTATACCTTACCTGTACACAACACAGTCCTAGTCTTACAAATGACAAGGTATATCTTACCTGTACACAACACAGCCCTAGTCTTACAAATGACAAGGTATATATCACCTGTACACAACACAGCCCTAGTCTTACAAATGATAAGGTATACCTTACCTGTACACAACACAGCCCTAGTCCTACAAATGACATGGTATATCTTACCTGTACACAACACAGTCCTAGTCTTACAAGTGACAAGGTATATCTTACCTGTACACAACACAGCCCTAGTCTTACAAATGACAAAGTATATCTTACCTGTACACAACACAGTCCTAGCCCTACAAATGACAAAGTATACCTTACCTGTACACAACACAGCCCTAGCCCCACTCCCCCAATAATCATCAGAGACTCCTTAGTGTACTGGGCAAGCTTACGACTGCAACCCTGTCAAATGATCGCAAGTTCATTACATTGCATTCATATTGCATCTTTTCAAGGTTGCAAAAAGTCAAGATTTTTGTCAAACTGTTCATTAAATCTATCCTAACTAGATATGTTCTTATACATTTGTAATAAGACTAATAAATGTACTCTTGTGTGGCACACTTAAACTTAATTTCAAATGAGTCATGGCATTCACTGCGTACATTGCTAACCCTTTGTTTTAAGTATGATACTCTGCAATGCTTGTAATGCAAAAATTATATCCCATAAAAGAATTTTATACTTCTAAGACATTTGACCTTGACCTTTCCAGAATGAAGCTAAGAATACTGTAAACGTACTTTTTTCCCACGGGGTCATAATTCCATAGAATTGCAATTTCTGTTCAATGTGCAGGTAGAAAATTACACAGATTTCTTGGAGTGCCATTATATGTATTGATTGCACTTTAAGAAGCTGTGACAAGTTTTTGAGGAAAAGGATGACTGCACTTAACGCCTGTTTTTGGGTCCTTTTCGGTTGCTTTTGTTGCTTTTATATCTAAACCTTATTTCACTTTTGTATGTTTATGAAAGAATTCTGTCAATATGGAACCAAATTTAAATCTTAAAATGATTTTAGACTGTGATACAATAAAATGATTCAATGTTTTTTGTCCTTACTGCTTTCCAAATATATTGAATTTACACTTACCTGCCCTGGCTTGAACATTAGATATGCATGAGAGGTGGAGCTAACATTATAAGAATGGGTCTAAAATTAGACTTGATAAATAACAATGACATGTTTGGAAAAAAGAACGTGATCACTCTTTCCAATCTCCCTCTCCATTCTGTATGGCACAACTACACTTCTGACAAAGGTTTCAAAACGAAATTAAAAATATGAACACGCCAATGTGATTAAAGCAGATTTTATATCAATGCCAGATGACTTAACGTGTTTGAACACAATGTCCTAGTTAGCACAAAACATGCTACCTTACAAGTCACGTGACGGAATTTAGTATTCACAAAGTTACCTGTGGTAAGAAATCAGGTGGTGAATTATAATATTCAACAAGTCACAATCCTTGGTTACAACACAGAGAGCGAATGTAAGAAGAAGTAGTTTTTTCTCTTTTTAACCATGAGCGCATGTTTTTCTATTAATCTCCTTTTGATACATTGTTATTTATGCAAATATACAACTACTGTTAAATGTAGAACAATAGACAAACATGCGCTGACTATGTTTAAAGTCAGTAAAAAAGTGGGCGTCCTCATTATCGAACGGAGATTCAAGAAATTGTGATGACCCCTGCCTTTGAAAACAGATCCGTACTTCGTAAATACACACTTTTATCAAACGTAATTACATAAAGTTGTAGATTGGATGTTGACCATTATTGCAATGAAAAGAAAAATGCTTGTTTTGAAAGTTTATTTTGTCGCAAATTTCGCATGTCCTTAAGTGCAGTCATCCTTTGTGACCGCGTAAATAGCACAAATTCATCCCACATGGAAAAAAGTACGTCTACAGTATTCACACCTATTTTAACTGATATAAGAAGAGAAGCCGTTACCTTGTAATAGATGTTAGACGGGTGATCACTTTCAGCACACCCCATTGAGTACGACATACAACAGGAATCCGGAGCTTTATTTGTCGTGTTTCTATCTTCTCGCAGCCATTTTGATTTCTGCCAGTCCTTAAAGGAAACTGCTCCACAACATAGAAACTGGAGCAAAAAAAAACAGTAGAGTCTATATATATTTTCTGTTTTCAAAAAAAATGATGATGCTATGAATGTCACGTATGTTGTCACATAAACAATACATGCCCTCCAATGTTCATGAAAGTATTGTCCTTTGCTTTATGAATAATATACTTAGGTTTACATTGGCTTTTACTTTATTGAAAGGTGACTCACTTTAAAAGAAAACATAGACAAAGGTAGAGAAAAAGCCTCATCATTTTTGTTGAAGTGTGGCTTCAGTATTAGTACATGTATTTGTGGATGAGTACTACAGAGAGAAACCATTGTAAGTGAAATGCAAAAGCCAACAGGACATTCTCAAACATTTTATTCATGTGGGTCATCAAATCAAAATCCAAAATAGAAGATAAAAGAATTCAACTATCTACAGCAAGCTTGCATTCTTTATCTATCAATAGTAATATACTAAATCTTGAGTTATTGTAGATATAAGGGTTATCTACCTTTTGCTGCATATCATCAATAGCTTGCGTGAGCTGAACGTCATAGTTGTAATTTTTCATCATTGTATCATTTAAACTTCTTGACAGCTCTTCTCGGATCTGCAAATTAAAACATTTTTGATTAATCTTGCTATAATGCATATATTGAAAGGTATAGCATATAAAATGGCATCACAAGGGTGCTGCAAAGAGGGACAACCTCACTTATTCATAAACACACAAATAAAATAAGTTCTTTGACCTTAGATCTTAAAATTATGAGTTCAAAGAGCATTCTTAATACATGTACAGTGAATTTGACTGTTGCAATATTAAGACAAAAATGTTAATCATCATCTCATCTTCATAATTACCTGATTCAAAACATACGAAGTGAAAGGATAAAATCTCCATCAAAACATAAGAAGTGAAAGGATAAAATCTCCATCAAAACATATGAAGTGAAAGGATAAAATCTCCATCAAAACATACGAAGTGAAAGGATAAAATCTCCATCAAAAACAATTTGACCATCTATGAGTGTGTCATGCATGTATATACAGGTCATAACACAGTTAATATGACTGGCATTTTTCAATAAAATAATACTGACTTGAATTAATTTTAATCTGTGAACTGGCTGACAAAAACTATATTGAAAGTCCCCACTTTGCAGCTGAACCAATGAAATTTCCAAAATACAAATGTACCAATTTAAACTGTATTCAATTTTGAAAATCGTATTTTCATTTGTAACTTACAATTCCCTCATACATGTAGGCAAGAACTCCACTTATAGCTTCCACTAAAAATATGAGAAGCAGAAAAACAGAATACTGAAAAAAAAAAGAAGTAATTACAAGTGATATTGCACTGATTTGAACATATTTTATTGCAAAAAATATATACAATGGGATTGGGCAAAAGTTCTAAAATATTAAAATGATATTGCACTGTCAAAATATCCAATAAAAATGACATTTATCTTAAAGGAGAGACTAAATGTAGAAATCTTACCAAGACGAGCAGACACCTGTTCTCTACGCGGGCTCCAACACATCCCATAATTCCAGACACTATGATGAAGCCTCCGATGCCAATCATTAGGAATGTAGCAATAGGGAAGGTAGAATTTCCTAGTAAACTGGCATAGGAATGTTTAGCTAAGAGTATCCACAGACCAATGGCTAAAAAGGCACAGCCAGTCAGCTACAACACCAGATATACATATAATACATGGATACAAAATAGTCCATCAGTGTAGTTGAACTCTGCAGTCAGATAGTAAGAATGAACATTTCTTTCTGATGCATCAAATTAACTTTGACATTTTAATTTGTGAACCCATGGCTTTATTATATTATATCAATTGTTCATTAGTGTACGAATATCGGTAAAAATAGAAATATTTAAATGGGAATAATAAATTCATCAAATAAATTAAACTTTAACTACACAAAGCAAGAAGGCAGTTCCATCAGGATGAGCAAATGGCTTTATGAAGATATAAAGCTACTTCCTTATTTGTAGCTTTATCTTGGACAATGACATTTGAATATGTAAATATTTGATTTTAAACCTAAAGGCAGATCACACTAATTGCATGAAGTACCATGACATTGGAACTCTTCAGGTTGTAGTGTATACGTCAAAATTTATAACTGGCTCATTAAAGTTCCAGTATGTTCAATACTTATCTAATTACAGTAATTACAGTATATTTGCAGAAAAGAATTTAGTAAAAATGTGAGTTATAAAACATATCTACTTACCCAGAAGATAAATGTGAAGACATAGATGACAAATTTGAGGAAATTTTTCCCACAAAGATCTTGATTTTTCCTGCGGTTTCTGGCTTGGCCGTTCATCATGATGAAAGGTGATGGATCTGCAAGGAAGAGGCATAAAATAATTATCTACCAATGACCTTTTGCCAAGGTCAAAATACACCCCAGGGTGCTGTTTGTGTGGATTTCCCTGCTTTATTTACACAGAGAGATGGGTTTTTTTATTATTATTAATATTACGACTCACAACAAACAAAGTTCAAATTTTCCTCTTATATATTGTAAAAATAATTTTCATGAATTTATACTTTACACACTTTTCACACATTACCAAAGGTTGATTACGAATAGTCTAATATTTATGAAATACATGTGATGTGTAAAACAAAGAATGTTTTTCAATTCATACAAACATGATAAGATATATATACAAGTATCCCCACAATGCCATTTTCACTGATTTAGAATTATACAGTCATAAGAGGTACATCTTTAACTTGATCGATATTTTTATTGGAAAATTATAAAAAGTGAAAGCAATGTTAACATTTGATGTCACTGGGAAAAATTACTTATGTCACAGGTGTATACATATATATATCGTATGCATGTAATACAGTACTTTTTTTCATTAAAAATAGATTCACAAATGCAAAAAACATTATATTTTCAACATACCTTGTACAATATTAGTCTTTCATTAGATTTCTTAAATAACAGCTAAATTCAACTCACTGCATAGTCAAATATTCATACTATGTAAGTCTTGTATTTCAAATATCAAATGACTACTGGAATTTTAACTAAGTGTACAAAATATAATAAATCTTTTGTCTGATATTGAGAAAAACAGTGCACCAAGGAGCTTTGCATGAATTGTATTACAATCTTGTCAAGGTCAAATGACCTCCAATAAATGGAAGAATGACTTAAACAAAGCTCACAATGCGATACTAATTTGCACTTCTACAATTTGTTTAAAATTTTAATTTAACTGTAAATTCTAAACCAATTCCTTTAAAATGCATAGTGTAGTAGTAAATTTAAAAACTGATGATTTTTAAGGATGATCGAATGTCATTTAACACTGGTCTACGCACTCCAAGTAACGTTTGAAACTTATCAAATGGATTGTTAAAACTATTTTGGGTACTGGTTGGTGTCTAATACCTTGGTACAGTAATAAGTAAATTGTTTATAGCTATATTATGTGTATAACATACAAAACTACATGCATTTTCTACACAGATATCAGTTCATTAACATAGCAGAGGATGGATAATCATAGACAGATAAGGGGCAAGGGCTTAATCCAAAGATAAACTGTTAATAAAACTATGAAATAAAGCCAAAATATTCCTCTTACCTTAGATACTTAAGTCTGGATCTACCCAGCCTGTGCCCTGTACAAAATAACTGACAGATTAAAGATAAGTTTGTGATCCCATTGCATGTGACTGGACTATTAAATTTCATTTTCACTGATATCAAAGGAACACACTTTTTTTTTTGATAAAAAAAAGTAACAATTACCTCAAAAGAGATTTGATTACCTATGATGAGTTTCAAAGTTCAACATAAGTCCTTGACTAGAATTTCTATCAAAGTGAACAAAGCTGTGGAGAAGTGAATAAACTAGCTGTCTGATAGACATGCAGACAGCCATAATGAACATTGTTCAGCATGACTGAAAACTGATGAAAAAAAACTGCATCAGATATATATCTATTTGGGATGTTTTGATTCTGGGCATAATAAAATTACATTAATATTTTCTGTTTTAATCATTACCAGAGGTTCCTATCCACTGTAATGTATACATTTATAAAACATTCAGATTTAGATGAGAATAGGTCCTCTCTCTCTCTAAATTATGCATCTAAATACAGAAAAATAAAACTAAGATAACTCATTTGGATCTTAGTCCTAGCTCTCTCTCTCTCTCTCTCTCTCTCATACACATACCTCTAAAATAGTCTGTTTCAACTGGAATGTGATTGAAGTGTGTTGAGATAGCTCTACTTTACTCAGCTATCACATTATTCCCTGGTAGAGGAACATATTGTGTTCTTGATATGTCTGCAAATGTATAAGCAGTGGTTCCTAAGTAATCATAACTAATTAATATAATTACCAAAAATCTTTCACATCTCACTGTATATATATGCAACTCCCTTAGTGATCTGTCAAACTGAATTATATAACATATATTATAATAATTCCCCTTGACACCCCGTAATTCTCTCCATGAGTCTCTATGGTACACACTGCTTATATAACAGATGCATAATTTACACATTGTACCATATAACATAACCTGATAATTACAGCTAGGTTTTAAATGCAATTATGATATGAAACTCATGAGAGTTTCTGCAGAAAAAAAATCATCTTACAGAAATATGACAGAAGACAAACCTGCAATTCCATCATTGTACAAAAGAATTAATAAGTTAATTATTCCTGATAAAAATTTTCAAAACTTGTTCAACAAATCTATTCAACTGCATTCACTATTAGTAGTAAGCACTTCATCAAATGTCATAAGCAACTGATACAGATACAAAGTCTGATCCAGAAATTAATGACCAGCTATGTTCAATGTCCCCCAAAGTACTAAATACAAGCACAGCTTGGGTCATGCCATAGGCAGAAGAAACCCTACACTATACATCATTAGGGAAACTTAAACCACAAATCACTGGGGAAGATCAAGGGGTTCTAATAACACACAACTTAATAACTGTGTCAAAACAATTGGTCAAACATTCCAGTGATATGACTCAATGTCACAACATATCCCACTGTATATTCATGTACATCATAGTTTTAGCAACATGCAACCAAACACCTGCAAAAAATGAAAAACATTTTCCTTCACCATGTCCAAGTACTATAATTGTAGAAATGAATAACTGAATTTTGAACATGCATGTTTGGGTTTCTGTAATGAAAATGTTCAAATAACCTCACCTATATATAGACATTATAGAGAAGGAAAGGAAACAAAGTGCATAATGCAAAGTATTCTGTAATTCAGTGAACTTTTAAAATAACAAACAAACTTTTAACTTTGAAAATCATAGATATCCTCTATACTGTCTTTCAGTTAATTTGAAGAAATTTTGTTTGAGAAATACTACAAATGGGACTGATCAAAACTTTTCAGAATGCACAAGTGTAGTACATGTATGTCCTTTCAATACAGGTCTGTTTTCACAAAACATTTTTACATGCATGGGTCACAGTCTTAACAATGAAATATTTCAATCTAAAGGATAAAAAGTCTATTTAGAGCAGATCCATGATTTCAGTGAAATATGCAGATGGCATATTGTATACCAATCATTATAAAATAATACACCTGTATATTATTAAAGCAAAAAAACTAAGAGATAAATCATCATGATTTAATAAATGTTTGAACTTTGCAAAAGTACTCATTCTCTGCAGCATGTAAAAAATTTTCCCCATAGAAAAGTGTGTGTCAAAAGTGTGGCAATTTACCAAAACATTCATAAAAATTCTTGAAATTAAAGTTTTTATCTGGATTATGTTTATCTATTACATGAATAACAAGCAAATTTAGAGAACTGTGGTCACCCACTTCTGGGTCTTTACTGTTTGGGATGCAACGATCTATTGTAACTGACTTGTCTGTCCATCAAACAAAAAAAAGACAAAAAAAAAGTTATATTTCTTAAAGTAATATGTATGGTGGCATATTTCTGCCCCCAACTTGTCAGATTATCTGAGCTCATCACAAAAAGTTTATCATAAAATGTAAAAAAAATTCTTCTTACTTTTTAGTTTTAAAAAAAATCATTTAAATCAACAAGTAATATTTATATTCTTTATGTGAAATTTTCTTGAAGGCATATTTCAACAATAAAATTTCGATCTGCTGATTTTTTTTTAATTGGGACAGCAATAAGTAGAGGGCACTTGATTCCATACTGAACCAGAAGTCTCTGATGAGACTGTAGCACTATTGGTCTGTATGTATAACAAAGGAAAAGTAACACTTGGATTTGAAACTTTGCAACATGCAGCAATAAATAGAATTATGTATCTTAATGTAGTCTACTTGTGTGCCAAGTTATACTGAAATCAAACAAAAACTGTAGGAGGAGTAGCATTTTGAAAGTATTTCACAGAAATTTCTATTTCAAGTAACCAAGGCAACATCATTCACTGAAATCAAAAACCGATACACACTACTATGTATCGTATTGCAGTCTAATTGTGTGCCAAATTAGATTGAAATCAGACAAAAACTGTAGCAGGAGTAATGTTTTAAAGGAATTTTACAGAAATTTCTATTTTTAGAAACCTGGCAACACCATTCATCAAAATCAAAAACCAATTCATCAAATTATGTATCTGAGTGTAGTCTACTTGTGTGCTAAGTTATATTAAAATCAGACTAGAACTGTAGGAGGAATTGCATTTTAAAGGAATTTCACAGAAATTTCTATTTTTAGTAACCCTGGCAACACTGTTCAACAAAATCAAAAACTGATATACTAAATTATGTATCTTAAAGTAGTCTACCTGTGTGCCAAGTTATACTGAAATCAGACCAAAACTTGAGGAGGAGTAGCGTTTTAAAGGAATTTCAAAGAAATTTCTATCTTTAGTAACCATGGCAACACCGTTCATCGAAATCAAAAACCAATGCACAAAATTATGTATGTTAGTGTAATCTACTTGTGTGCCAAGTTATACTGAAATCAGACCAAAACTGTAGGAGGAGTAGCGTTTTGCAAAATTGTTTACAGACAGACAGACGGACAGACAGATAAACGGACGGACGGCAGATACCTTACAAATGGCATGAGCTCTTCTGGTCTTTGACTAGTAGAGCTTAAAATTAATTTGAAACTAGGAAAATGGTTGGGGGGGATGTTGTAATTGACACCTCTCTGCATGTACCATTCATATTTTGGGAAGTTTGGTATCATCTATTTATAAAACAAAGCAATTCTCTACTGGTAAAATGACTGTATCTTATATTCTGAGTGTTATCCTTCAGGAGAATGTTAAAATATACAAGGGTTGTCCGGTAAAATAGTGGACAAGTAGTCTACAGTTAAAAATAATCAACACTGCTTTAATTCTCACGTTTCTAAAATTTTCCCACTTTTTAGTACATTTTTCATCAATATACGTAGTAAATTTCAAAGAGTTATATGTTCAAATAAACAAAATATGGGATTTCATATTACATGTGGTGTTGCCGTACGCTGCATGGATGAACGTCAAAATCTCTATTAAGCAACATCACCTTTCATCTTTGCTCAAAAAAGTTGGATGAGCACCACTTAAATTCCAGGAATTTTACTGACACATACACTCAAGTTCCCCTTTATTCCTTCATAAACAGTTTAGGAAATAATCTTGCACACACGTGGGTTCTTATGAAAACTTGCATTTGTAAGTTATGGAAGGTACTCTCACTTTCACTGAACTAAAAAGGCAGTTTTGGACTGATTGTTGATCTACAGGGGGACTCAATCAAAAAGCTTCTGCTTCAAAAAATGCACATTCCACTTGTATTCTAATATATTAGTGATTTTTAATATTTTTTCAACATCCTCTCTTATGACATCATTAATTAACATATAACTGAACTGCTCTCCAGTGCACTGTATGTCATCAAACATTGCCATTTTTTGTGTTGCATTTACCACTTTCCCATTTCAAAGTCCTAGAAAACTTCCAAAAATTAAGTGAATTGTTTGATATTTTACTAACAAATGATATCATGATATATAGTGAAATAAAAATATAATAATTTTTACCCTAACCTCATCCATCTAATACTTTTATTGCAAAATAATACTTGCATATTCCCTGATAAAACCCTGATTTTTTGGTCATGCACCATAGGATCATACCCTGTGCACATTTACGTATAATAAATATCCTTATTATTGCCTACATTTTATTAAAAACCAGAAGTCTCTGATGAGACTGTAGCTCTACTGGTCTGTATGTATAACAAAGGAAAAGTAGCACTTGGATTTGAAACTTTGCAACAATAAATAGAATTATGTATCTTAATGTAGTATACTTCTGTGCCAAGTTATATTGAACTCAAATGAAAACAGTAGGAGGAGTAGCTTTTTGAAAGTATTTCACAGAAATGTCTATTTTTCATAACCATGACAACACCATTCATCGAAATCAAAAACCGAAATACAAATTATGTATCCTAGTGTTTTCTAATTGTGTGCCAAATTAGATTGAAATCAGACAAAAACTGTAGGAGGAGAAGTGTTTTTAAGAAATTTCACAGAAATTTCTATTTTTAGTAACCATGGCAACACTTTTCATTGAAATCAAAAAACAATGCACTAAATTATGTGTATAAGTGAAGTCCACTTGTGTGCCAAGTTATATTAAAATCAGATGAAAACTGTAGGAGGAGTAGCGTTTTAAAGGAATTTCACAGTAATTTCTATTTTTAGTAACCATGGCAACACCGTTCATCAAAATCAAAAACTGATACACTAAATTATGTATGATAGTGCAGTCTACTTGTGCGCAAAGTTATATTGAAATCAGACCAAAACTGTAGGAGGAGTAGCGTTTTAAAGGAATCACAGAAATTTCAATTTTTAGTAACCATGGCAACACCATTCATTGAAATAAAAAAAATGATGCAATAAATTATTTATCTAAGTGAAGTCTACTTGTGTGCCAAATTAGATTGAAATCAGACCAAAACTGTAGGAGGAGTAGCATTTTAAAGGAATTTCACAGAAAATTCTATTTTTAGTAACCAAGGCAACACCATTCATTGAAATCAAAAAAATGATGCAATAAATTATTTATCTAAGTGAAGTCTACTTGTGTGCCAAGTTATATTGAAATCAGACCAAAACTGTAGGAGAAGTGGCGTTATAAAGGAATCTCACAGTAATTTCTATTTTTAGTAACCATGGCAACACCGTTCATCAAAATCAAAAACCAACGCACTAAATTATGTATCTTAGTGTAGTCTAATTGTGTGCCAAGTTATATTGAAATCAGACCAAAACTGTAGGAGGAGTAGCGTTTAAAAGGAATTTCAC